CCCGGGGGGATAAGCAGAACTTATAAATAAAAGCATTCCACCTGTAAATGTTGGGGTTTTAAGTTTAAAGGGCCTCCCCAGGGCTTTCATAAAAGCGGAAGAAGATTCAGCACAGCTACCGGGCATGTGAAACTTTTTCTTCTTCCTTTGCTGGGGCTTTAATGCTTGGCAATTGGAATGGGCTGCTCAAATCCAGCTAAATCAAACTGGGAATGCAAAAGCAGAAAGACTTGGACATTGCTAGTGACCCTGCACCCAAAGGAATGTCATCATTGGCTGCATATATTTTACTTGTATGTTTAATGTGCTTTGTGGAGTAGAATGGTGTGTATATATATTTATTTAACTTATTTATTTATTTATTTAACTTATATGCCGCCCACTCTACCCAAAGGTCTCTGGGTGGCTTACAACAATTAAAATACAATTAAAATACAATAAAAGATAAAATGCTTAAAATACAATTAAAATAGGTACTCTAAAAATTGCCATCAGGACCCACAGTTGATCAGGACCCACAGTTGATATATAGTATATTTGGTGTACGTCCAGGCAGTTCTCAGAATCTTTATAACCTTTGGATTATTAAAATATTTTGACACCAGCTTGGATCAGCTGTTCTCCCACAATATTTTCTCTGCTCACCCTGGGGTGTGTGATGGAATGCAGATTTGCCAAGAGATTTGCTCCCTGAGAATGATGTTTCTACCTGAAACAGTAGATTGAAAAAGAAGATAGCTATGGAGACAAGCACAGCCCCCCCACCCACACATCCACCCACCACTGCACCACTGCAGTCTCCTTGTTTTAAAAGCAGCACGAAGCTTCTGTGCTTAGTCTTTTTTGTAGAAAGGAGATGCTAGCAAACAATCTAGTTTTACAGTCATCGCTGATGCTTCTGTTCTTGTGCTTTATTTTTCTTTCTTCAGTGCTAATTAAAAGCTTCTGACCAGGAGGCTCTGGCCATGAACCTGAAAGTCTCCTGAGAAGCATTGCAATGTTAAACTCTGTCCTTCAGTAACAAAGTGCAATGAGAAACTCCCCTTCTGTGCAGGGAGTCTCCCTGTCCAGCCTCTTCGCCTGAGGGGTCGGCTGCCAGAGGAGGCAGGGAAGAGCAGGCCGAGCTCCTTCCCGGACTGGGCAGCTGGCAATGGAGGATGACCTGGGTGGTGCACAGAGGCTTGTGAGTGGGATAACCAGCTGGGAGGTGGTCGGACGAAACACACGGCAGCTGTGACACTACGAGGCATGAGTTGTAAGATGCGGCACAACTTAAGTTGTGCCCATCTCTAATCTAAACGCCATGTGGCAAGTGGTTAGCACATTCTGTAGCCCTAGGGGCATAACTGCCTCTTAGGTATGAATGAGAATCTCCACCCCAGCTCACAGCTGCCCCGACTGTATCTGCACTATGTCCTGAAACATCTGAAAGAGCAGGGTGGGTGAAATGTTTGAAGGTGTAACTAATCAAGCTTCATCTGTTGTTGTTGTTGTTTGTTTGCTTGTTTTTGCTAAAGATCACATCTGATGCCCCAGTGTCCTTAATCATCGCTTCGTATTCCTTACATAGTGTAGTTTTTACAGAAGATTATGGTTTTTTATTATTCTAAATTTTGGCACCTTAACATGAAATAAAGAGCTAGTGTGCTATCATGGATTGAGTGTCAGGCTAGGTCTCAGGAGAGTTGAATTCAAATCAGGGCCAGGGAAACTAACTGGGAATTGTAATCAGTAAACTGCTGTTTGAGCATCACATACAGTACACCAAAAGCCTTACTAAGGTCACTGTTTGTCAGAAGGGACTTGGTGGCAGATAACGACAAGTAAGGGTGGGGCAGCTTATGGATGTGTTTCCCCAGTGATCATGTGGTGCATGAGGAAATGCTTTACCCTGACCCCAATCTGTGCCCAAGCTGGACTTCTTTGATCCCGTTGTAGGGCTTTTTGGGGATGGGGGTGGGAAGCGGGTTTGGGTGATTCCCCATCAGAAAAAAAAGTATTGTTTTAAGGGAGATTGCTCCCATCAAAGCAACCCTTTCTGGTACAATCAGGCCCACGCCTTAGCAACCATCTGACCAAACCCTAAGTGAAATAACTAGGCATTCTGATGCTGTGTTGAACAGCGATTAATAATTTTGCGACAAGGCATTGAAAATGAACCAACTGATTGTGCTGAAGTCTTTGGAAAGTTGCTGATGGAATCAACTTGGATGATGAGATGCATAAAACTGCTTGTAACTTTGCTCTGACATTTGTTCCTCCCGCAGACGGGCATTTTGTATTCCCTTAACACACATTTGTGCCTAAAGATTCACACCTCTCCTGAGGGATGCATTGCAAAGCATTGCTTTCTCATCATTTGCTGATGGAAATCCTGTCCTCCTTGAAACATGATGAGAAGATGCATTTATTATCATGATAAATGGATATTTTCCTGCAGAGAGCGAGCGAGCGAGCGAGAAATATCACTTCTTCCTCAAGCCTAGACTCAAGTTGTTATGGCAGAATCCGGATGCTCTTGAATTGAGGCCAAGGTGTCTCTTTCCCAACTAGGGAGCTACCAATCACACAAGGGAAAAGCTTTTTGTGTCCTTTCGGATGCTCACTGAGAGCTCTTGTATTCTATTCTGGGCTATTGGCGAGTGCTCCTGGCCAGTAAGTGAAAAGACCCGTCAGAGGGAGGAGAATATGAAGCCATTCATATTCTCATGTGAGATGTACGCAGTTTCATTTGGCCTGAGAGCTATTCAATATGTCATTTCCCCCACATAATACTTCAAAGTGCCTGCCATAAGAGAGATTGGGATGGAAATTCCAAGTGATTTTCATGATCCCTCAGATGCTGAATGAAGTCAACGTCTGGCTAAGTTACAATGAACAAACAGTGTTATGTCAGTGTCATTTCCGACTCCTTTCTGGCAGAGGATGTGAGTCTAGCTGACCCAAGGTGAGGCTGCAAGAACAGCTTTCGCTGAAGCAGATGAGTTCCCCTCAGCCCTACCTTTACTAGCTGCCCTACAGTCCTGGGACTGAGAAATGGAGCATTTGAAGTATGAGGAGAACGTATTCTCGAAGGCTTTCACGGCCGGGATCTGATGGTTGTTGTGGGTTTTTTGGACTCTGTCGGGCACAGACAGAGTTCTGACTCCTGTTCCTCTGAAGAGGCCGGCCACAGAGACTGGCAAAACGTTAGGAAGAACAACCTCGAGAACATGACCAAAGAGCCCGAAAAACCCACAACAACCATGAGGAGAACCTTTGACCAGGTGCAAAGTATCTTTAACTGTTGGGGCAACACATACAGTACTTTGGAAAGAGCAGCAAGGTCATTTGGCATGTGTTCCAAGCAGAATTGGCACTTTGGCGCTCTCATTGTAGATGTCAAAACTGAGTTGGGTTTTAGTTGGATGGGAAGGGCTTTTGTTAATTCTGTGCCCTTCCCAGAACCTTCTGGAACATTGTTGAGGGGGGGACACAATTATTTGCAAAATGACTGGTTTCAGAGCAGCTCCTACTCCAAATAGTGGAGGCAGGTTTTTAAGTTACATGTTGTTACACTTTTAATGTGGCTTCTAATATGTCTCATTTCCTAAGACAGAGATGGGGAGCCTTTGGTATTTTGGACTACAGTTTCCATAGTCCCTCACTATGGACCACCCTGCTGGCACTTCCGAGATCTAAAACCCAGAATACCTGGCGGGCAGAAGGTCCCCTGGCCTTTGAGGAGTGCTCCTGTTAAGGGTTCCGGAGTATTTGAGATAGGAGCCTCTCAGTGCGGTTTAGGCCCGTGAAGTGGCAAGGGGCAATTTCAGGAGGGAAAAGTGGGAAATGACACATTTTCCCCACCTTCCCTCAAGGGGCTTTCATTTAAAGTGAGAAGATGCTCAGTCTTATATTTTAGGGGGTAGGGAAAGCATCCCTGCTATTTCAGCCCTAACTCCAGGGTACTGGGGGTCAGATGACACATTAAGGCAATCTTAAAACATTATCCCCCCAGGCACATGGATCTTTCAGGGCAGTATGTTTAAGAAATCAGATATGCAAATGAGGCCCTGCTCTCTCCCTATTGACCAATCACCAGATAAACAATCTTTTCCTCTTAAGGAGCTCCGTTTCTAATGATTTGCTAACTGTAGTAAATCGTTTGGCCCTAAATGTTTCCTGTTACTTGTTCTGGTGATGCACTGCCTGCCTCCAGGCTGAACGGTCAGATGTCAGGGTTTTAAGGCAATCTTAAAACATTATCCCTCCAGGCACATGGATCTTACATGGCGGCATGTCTAACAAATCAGATATTTAGATATGCAAACAAAGCCCTGCTCTCTCCCTATCTGACCAATCACCAGATAAAAGCAAAACAATCCTTTCCTCTTAAGGAGCTCCATTTCTAATGATTTGTAGTATGTTGTTTGGTCCTAAATGTTTCCTGTTACTTGTTATGGTGCTTCAAGTGCTGCAGGAAACATTCCATCTTCAAGCTGCTATCAGGCACTGGCTTCCCAGTGAGTCTGAAACAATCTGCCCAATTTCTCCCTCCATGAAACTATTCACAGACTTCTTTCCCGCCCTGCCCCTCCAGCCCCTTGCCCTCAAGGCTTAACCACCAGGATTTTTTAAGCAGAATTCTTCCTCCTTTTCAAAAACATCTAACACTTCTGTGGGTCTTGCATATCCTCTGTATATGTAAAACCAGTTCATTAGAGACTCCTGATTGCAGGATTCTGAGAAATTATTTTAAAAAAGCATTTTCTCCAAACTCTGCTTAAAACCTTCCGCCATTTTGGTCACGGAGGGTTAACCTCATTTTCTTTCCAGATCAATAAATGTGCAGCTCCCTGAGTTCAGTACAAAATGGAAAGATAAACGAAACTCATCACACTGATTTCTAAACACTGTAGAGATGTGGGGGTTTTTTTGGTTTTGTTCTGTTTTTGTTTTGCTTGAGATTAACAGAAAACAAAAATGACAGGTTTCTCTCCCTGTTATCATCTCCCATGCAGGGCGTTGTGTGTGCTCAGCCATGCCCATCAGGAACGTATGGGGTCAACTGCAGCCAGGATTGTCCGTGTCATAATGGAGGACAGTGTGATCATGTGACGGGGGTATGCCTGTGCACAGCAGGCTATACGGGAGACAGGTAGGTGCAGTGGTAGCAAATGCCTTGTTCCATGTTTTCAGTGCCAATCAAGGCTCCTGGGCAATGCTTCTCTACATGACACTTGAGTTAGTCCAACTTAATGCCACAGCCTTGGTATGCACCTATGATATCCAGTCTATTTACAGTGGTGCCTCGCTATACAATGATAATCCGTTCCACTGAAATTGCTGTTTAGCGAAATCATTGTCTAGTGAAAAGCATTTCCCCATTGGAATGCATTGAAACCTGTTTAATGCATTCCAGTGGGGAAGAATCATCGTCGTTTAGTGAAGATCATCCATAGGAAAGCCGCTTTGCGAACCGCCGATCAGCTGTTTAAATCGCTGTCTTGCGAAGCTTAGGTCCCGAAAACATCTGTTTTGCGAGCACAGAGGGAGCTGTCAAAATCGTCGTCTAGTGAAAATCAGTTTGTGAAGCAGGGACCAAACATTGTCCAGTGAAATTCCCCCATAGGCATCACTGTTTTGCGAATCGCTATAGCGATCGTAAAAAGCCAATGTCTAGAGAAAAAACCGTCGTGCGGGGTAACTGTCTAGGGAGGCACCACTGTACACTTAGCCAAATCATCCAGTGAAGCCCCTGTGGGACAGTTCATGCATTTCTAATATTTGAGTGATCCAATCTTTCCTACCATGTTTTTTAATTCTCCAGAGAGATGGCTCTCTTAGGCTGTTGCTCGTCCTGTCCATAAAAGCTTATGCCAGCCTGACATAACCGGGTACTGTTAAGATTTTTTTCGACTGCAGCTTCCATCAGCCCTTGTGAACATGGCCAATGATGGGACATCATGGAAATGGGAATTTAAAAAAAAACACCCTGGAAACTTGTCTTATAATATAATAGGTTTGTTCATCTTTAAAATGCAGCACATTATTTTTGAGTCACACTTGGGTCTTCTAGCCCCTTGGAAGGAATGATTATGCCATTCAAGATTTCAATTTTGTTCATTAAAAGATGTGGATCTTAAGTTAATCTGGTCTCAGGAGAGGTTGCATGTCATTAAAAGGTCTATGTATTTTTTAAAAAACCCAATCATATCAACTATAAAGTAGCACCACTGAACAGTAATCCAAAGACAAAGGCAGGCGATACCTTTAATAGACCACTAAAAATAAATAAAAAGTTGGCTTTCAACCCATACAAGTCTTCACCAGGGCGAGCACCTGTATTGTGGATGGTGCAGAAAAACATAAAAGTTCCAAAAGTCATGGCAGAGATCTATGCTAGGCCTGTTTCTTAAAAGTGAGTTCCAGAATGCAAGCTGAAAACACAAATCAGGGTTGTAGGTCTCCAGATTCCATCCCGGGTGGTTTCACTCACTCACTTTGGACAAGAGATGAGCATTTTTCGGCAGCTCATTCCCACTCATGTAGCAGTTGAACAGGTGTGTTCAGCACTTCAAAGTCCCTCCTCCTCCATGTTACAGCTGCCATTTTGAAAGTGCTTGGAAAGTGAATGTAAAACAGATGATGGTCAGAATCACCATATCCCCATTAATACATAGTATAGTTCTTTTAATATTGTTGTGAAAAGGAAAGGAAAAAGGAGCTATACGAAGCCTCAAGAAAACAGAAAGCCAGGGACCACCAGAAAAGGAACTACAAAAATATGCATCTATTGTACAAATGTGTTGAATGCGTTCATTAAGGTATGCAGATGGTGGTCTGAATTGTAAGCCATTGAAGTATCAGTACTGTAGTGCTTTTTATGTTATTGTATTTTATTTGTGTCAGGGTGCTATAATGTTGATAACCTTGCATTTCAGTGTGAACCTTACTGAAAGAGCTTCATATTGCCTATGATAACATGCAAAACACAAGCTATCAGCATATGTATGTTGAAGTCCATGCAGCATGGGAATCCGTTCTAGTCCAAAGGATGCGGAATTTAATGCTTCTTAAAATGAGCTATTTAAAGAACATTCTATTTCGTGAGGTAATTGAGTAGATTTTAGATAGGCACAACACACTGGTGGTACTTGAAAACTCATTTTTCTTGAATGTTATGTAGTATTTACTTATCTCCTAGTGCATACCCATATAAAAACAATTTCATACCAGACAACAGGCCCAGCTTTGCTTTGCTTAAATCCCATGAGTACCACCCTCACCCAGTGCCCTCTTTCCTCTCTATAAACCTTCCTTTTCCTTAGTCTCTCTCTCTCTCTCTCTCTCCCACTTCCCTTCTTGTTACACATTCAACTTATCCCAGAATTCCCCAGATAGCATGGCTCCCAACAGCATGATGCCCCCACCCACTCTGAAAATTATACACCTTGTTATCACAAATGTATAAACTATTGACAGAAATAAGATAGAAAAAGGGCTAGAATTTTATCAGTCTATCAAAAAATCAGGATTTATAACGAATTTCAGTACATATAGTCACATCCTTACTATTAGAATGTTAATAGAAAAAAATATATACCTGGTGTATATATATTATGAAAAAGCCTTTGATAGGATTGAGTTGGGGGCAATAGAAAAGGTGCTCCAGAATAGCCAAATAAGATCATTTTATGAACAAGCAATAAGAGTTGTACAGTTATACAAAAATATAAGGGAAATGCCAGTTAAATGCAGAGTGAGACAAGGAGACTCAATGAGTCCAAAACTATAACAGCATTAGAGGAGGCGTTCAAAACTCATAATTGGGAACATAAGGGAATTAATATCAGTGGGAGATGACTGAGTTACCTTACATAACCTCAGTGATGTTGTAGTTATAACTTTCATGACTTATGAAGTAAATTGGAAGAATTAGAGAGTTAATGAATTGGAGAAAGTTGATTAAAAATATAAATAATAATAATTAAAAGAACCTCACACAAAACAGGCCAAAAAACCTACAACCACAAGACTTACATTGTCGACATTTTAATAAACAAAGTAAAAAAATTATATTTTTTAAATTCTCTAAATTTAAGAAAATTTCTACTCAGTGTGGATTGGCAGTACTAACCAATGCTACAGATATTTAAACTCTTAACAGAATCCATAATGAAATAGCTCACAAAAACTTGAAACAGCAAGGGAAAGGCAGAGATGCTAAATGTTGGATTAATAGATAAAAGTATGAAATCAGAATATTCAGCAAAAGACAAAAATAAAATATGTAAAGATCAAATAGCATTGTTAAGAACTACAAAAATATGCATCTATTGTACAAATGTGTTGAATGCGTTCATTAAGGTATGCAGATGGTGGTCTGAATTGTAAGCCATTGAAGTATCAGTACTGTAGTGCTTTTTATTTGTGTCAGGGTGCTGTAATGTTGATAACCTTGCGTTTCAGTGTGAACCTTACTGAAAGAGCTTCATATTGCCTATGATAACATGCAAAACACAAGCTATCAGCATATGTATGTTGAAGTCCATGCAGCATGGGAATCCGTTCTAGTCCAAAGGATGCGGAATTTAATGCTTCTTAAAATGAGCTATTTAAAGAACATTCTATTTCGTGAGGTAATTGAGTAGATTTTAGATAGGCACAACACACTGGTGGTACTTGAAAACTCATTTTTCTTGAATGTTATGTAGTATTTACTTATCTCCTAGTGCATACCCATATAAAAACAATTTCATACCAGACAACAGGCCCAGCTTTGCTTTGCTTAAATCCCATGAGTACCACCCTCACCCAGTGCCCTCTTTCCTCTCTATAAACCTTCCTTTTCCTTAGTCTCTCTCTCTCTCTCTCTCTCCCACTTCCCTTCTTGTTACACATTCAACTTATCCCAGAATTCCCCAGATAGCATGGCTCCCAACAGCATGATGCCCCCACCCACTCTGGAAAATTATACACCTTGTTATCACAAATGTATAAACTATTGACAGAAATAAGATAGAAAAAGGGCTAGAATTTTATCAGTCTATCAAAAAATCAGGATTTATAAAGAATTTCAGTACATATAGTCACATCCTTACTATTAGAATGTTAATAGAAAAAAATATATACCTGGTGTATATATATTATGAAAAAGCCTTTGATAGTATTGAGTTGTGGGCAATAGAAAAGGTGCTCCAGAATAGCCAAATAAGATCATTTTATGAACAAGCAATAAGAGTTGTACAGTTATACAAAAATATAAGGGAGATGCCAGTTAAATGCAGAGTGAGACAAGGAGACTCAATGAGTCCAAAACTATAACAGCATTAGAGGAGGCGTTCAAAACTCATAATTGGGAACATAAGGGAATTAATATCAGTGCGAGATGACTGAGTTACCTTACATAACCTCAGTGATGTTGTAGTTATAACTTTCATGACTTATGAAGTAAATTGGAAGAATTAGAGAGTTAATGATTCGGAGAAAGTTGATTAAAAAAATAAATAATAATAATTAAAAGAACCTCAAGTAAATTGGAAGAATTAGAGAGTTAATGAATTGGAGAAAGTTGATTAAAAATATAAATAATAATAATTAAAAGAACCTCACACAAAACAGGCCAAAAAACCTACAACCACAAGACTTACATTGTCGACATTTTAATAAACAAAGTAAAAAAATTATATTTTTTAAATTCTCTAAATTTAAGAAAATTTCTAATCAGTGTGGATTGGCAGTACTAACCGATGCTACAGATATTTAAACTCTTAACAGAATCCATAATGAAATAGCTCACAAAAACTTGAAACAGCAAGGGAAAGGCAGAGATGCTAAATGTTGGACTAATAGATAAAAGTATGAAAGCAGAATATTCAGCAAAAGACAAAAATAAAATATGTAAAGATCAAATAGCATTGTTAACATGAAGAGGTAGATGAGCAATGGAATAAAAAATACCTCTTGGATCAGAGGAAGGAGGCGAGGAAGACTGCAACTAGACAGATAGATGATGTTAAAAGATCAGCAGGACTATCATGGATCAGAATAGCACAAACAGAAATTTGTAGAAGTTAAAAGGGGAGGCCTATATCCATCAATGGCTGTCCGTGGGCCAAGAAAGAATGAAAGAAAGAGAGATAGGGAGGTGGAGAG